CCCCCCCCCCCCCCCCCCCCCCCTCCCTTCCGCCGAGGAGGTCGGGGCAGTGCACCAGCGACCAGGACTCGTGCTCCCTCGACAACCGCAACAACGTCGAGCGCGTCGTGGTGCCGGCATCCGACATCACCGCTGGCACCTGGACCGTCACCGTCTCCGCCTCCAACGGCCTCGTGGAGGGCGGGCCCCAGACCTACGCGCTTGCGGTGTCCCTGCCAATCTCGACCGCCGAAGCCGAATCCACCGCCGCCCCCACCACCGCCGCCCCCCGCACCCCCCCCTCATCTGCCTCGCCTACCGCGGGGCCGCTGACGGGTACCCCCGGCGGGTCCGTCTCTGGGACCCCTTCTCCGACCGCCGCCGCGACAACGGGGTTTACGCCGCCGGCGGCGGCGACGACTCCGCCGTCGCCTTCTCCGCCAACGCCCCCTCCTTCTTCCGGGGGAACGGCGGCGGCGACAGCGACGCCCGCCCCGACGCCCGCCGGGACGGGAGCTGCTACGGGGCGGCCTTCTTCTGCCGCCGCGTCTGTCGATGGCGATGGCGATGTCGATGTCGATGTCGATGGCGATGGCGGCGGCGGTGACACGCCGGCGCCGTCGTTGATCATCATCGCGTCCCCGGTGGGCGGCGACGCCCCCGCTACCCCGGCCCCGGTGATCACGATCGCGTCTCCGGGAACGAACGAGGACTCGTCGATCGGTGAGGGCTCGACCCCGGCCCCGTATGCTAGTAGCATCGACGACAGTGATAATGATAGCGACGGCAGCAGTGGTGATGGTGATGATGTCGGGGACGGCGCTCGTGCGATCGGCGGGACTCCATCGCCGACGGAAGGCGTTGAGGCGGCAGGGACGTCGTCGGGAGCGGCGGCGGTGGTTCTCGGAGGGGGTGGCGGCGGGGGAAGGTTGTTGCTGTGTGTGGCCGCGGCTGCTGTCCTTGCGACGGCGGCGGTTGGAGAACCGGGGTCGCTGTCCGCTTGGTGATGTGCCGGTGAAGCAGGCGGTGGCGACGGCGGAGGAGTCAGGTGCGCTGGAGACGATAGGTGTTGAGTTTACTGCTCTTTTCGTGAAAAGCAGTCGTTTTTTTTTCATGTGCCGGTTTGCACGTTGTTTGCCCCGCCATGAGAGGGAAGTAGAGAGCGCCGCCCAATCGTATCATCACCTTCACCCGGCGTCTGTTGTGTTTTGTGACGGAAATGGATGTGCTTCATGTCGAGGGATTGGGAATTTTCGACGACGACGACGACCCTCTTTTTTATGTTGGAGTCCATGTTCTGCTAACAGTACTGCGCGAGAGCGCATGTCGTGCTCTTGTGCAGACAGCCGTGCTTGTGTGAGTAGCGACGATGGTGGTCTTATATTTGCTAACCCGATGGCGTTGGGCAAAGGAAGTGAAGGAAGATATTGCACGGCGTGATGTAGGGACGACGGCGGCCGTCAGTCAGCGCTCAAGAACATTACAATACCAGCACGTTGGTGCGTGCCTTTTTTGCGTTAAATCTGCTCCAAGTAGAATAGCTTATCGTCGCCGTCGTTGTTGTCGTCGTCGTCGGCGGCGGCAAAGTTGCGTGTTTCTGTGTATTGTGTCGGAAAAACGATGCATGTGGTTTAGGTATCTTTTGGCAGCATTTGTGTGTGCCTTTCGACGTGAGTGAGAAGTGTCGTGTTTCGGCGGTTGGGTCTGTTGGTTCTTTCTATTTGTGTCGTCGTCATTTTCTCCGTCCAGCCTTGCGACGTTCGCTTGCAAGCCGAGTCCTCCCACAGCCAGAAACTTGTCCTTGTTCTTTTTTCTTGTGGTCTGCAGCAGATGTAGATAGATGCCCACGCGACAGCAGCGAGCGGCGGTGTAGGACGGAGGCATTTTTTTTTTTTTCATGTCAGCTATGTTTTTGTTTTTTTCCTCCTCGTGTAGCGTTTGAACGACATCGACAGCAGCAGCAGCAGCAGTCGTAGAGGAGTTACAGGCAAGCCGAGTGGGTGGTGTGTTACGTATAGCGGGCTCGTCAGCCACATCGTTATTTGTAGCGAGTGACCAGGCCCCCCGCCGTCCGCCGGGAAAGTGGCGTTTTCAAGGTTTATTGATGTTTGAGTTTTGCATGTCGTGGGTAACGGTTTGCTGTTATTTTATTTCGGTGTTGTGCTTCGTTTCCTAACCCTGTCCTTTTCTCTTTTCACGATTAGTATGGAAGCTTCTGGAAACTTTCTTCCCCCTTATGGAGCGGTGGGAATTTCCTCCCACGGGTTCTTTTTTTTTTTCAATTGTTTTGTTTTTGTTTCCACAGCTGTGTTTCCTGGTTTTGGGTCAAAGCGCGCGCGTGAACACGAACGATCTTTCGCGTGCTTCTGATAAGAGGAAGTGCTTAAAGGGAGGAGGAGGAGGAGGAGGAGGAGGCATTCGATACCTGTACATGTGCCAAACTCATTTTTGACATGAAGATGACGACAGCACCACCATTTGCGTGTGTTGCTGGTTGGCTTAAATGGAGCAGATTGCGGGGGGGGGGCGGGGGGGGGACTCATAGTCGTGCATGCCGTAGTCGTTAGACCATTGACCTCGCATCTCTACAATGCCGGGACGGAGCACGCCGGGTTCTCACCGGACCAGGCTCTCACATCACCAAGCGCGAAACACCGTGAAGCATTCGGCGAGTCGCATGAAGGGTGCGCTGCATCCCGCTAAGGGTGTTCCGGCATCTTGTGCTTATTTCCTTGCGTACGGCTGACAGCTGCCCGTGACTTCATTTGATTTCTGGTGCTTTCAATTCGAGAGACAGTTGTAAGCACTGCTGTGTAACTGCCTCGAGGATGCGTGACCATTTTAACACAACGTGGTGCGATCATCCCCCTTGCGCGGAGTGAGGATTGTCCACCCCGCACAACATGATCTACTCGACCACCATGATGGTTACCGCCAAAAAAAAACACAGATAGTAGTACCCCGAAGCGCACACCACATTTTTTTTTTTTGTTCGTCACTGGAATATGTGATTTTTTTTCTCGTTTTTTTTGGAGTCGGTGCGTGGGGCGTGGGCCGGCCGAGTCTTCTTTCCAACACGTTTATGTATACATCCGTTCTTGTGAAATCATGTCAGATGAGCCGGAAAAGGATAGAGGGGACGGGCGGATTGCTTGTGGATCCAGCTCAACCATGTGCCGTCTTACGTCGATCCAGCTCTGGCCTTCTTGTCTGCTCAGCACAACCTAGAAAAAGTGGACGACCACACAGCAGTAGTACAAGCAGGTCCAGCCAAGACGCGTATTTCACGGTTGGACTGGATTTCCCGCGCGGTTTTTTCGAATCAGGACCTGAAATTTTGAGACGGCATTTGCATGAGTACAACAAGAAAAATTACCACTGCGCCATTTGGATTTTTTTTTTTTCATGAGTTATCCCTATTGTTGTAAATATGGGAATACTTGTTTTGGGACA